GAGGGGGAGGGGGGAGGAGGAAACAATCTGACAGATTCCCCTTGGACCTGGGGGGGCCACAGAGTTTATAGATCCCAAAGCCCCGTTTCGGGCCTCCTTAAATTCCAAGCAAGTAAATTTTACTTGAAAAGGGGGATCTCTCCTAAAAAAAAAAATAAAATAAAAAAGAAGAAAAGGAATAATTCTATATATATATGTCTATCTAAAAGTGGCAAATTTTATATGCTAAAGTATAGGGGGTCTCAGAAAAAATAAGTTATGGACCAATATCACAACGACCATTTATACGTTTTAAAAGAAAAAAAAAGTATATAAATATATATATATAAATATATGTCCTGGGTATTTTTAAAGTTCTCTGTTGTACTGTAAAAAATGTTTGGATTTCTAATCAGGCTGATTTTTCAGAGCCATTAATATAATATTTAAAGTTGAGTTCACTGGATTAATATTGTCTCGCCCAACGGTTCCTAACGTCCAAATTAATGACAAGTGATTTCTTCTTCTTCTGTGTACAATTATGCAATAGAGTTTCTTTCGTTTTAGAGCTGTTCTTTTCGCAAGACGATGAAATAATTTATTTTTTGCTGGTGGATTTTTTAGAAAGGAAAAAAAAAAAGACAAAGTATCTGATACTTTTTTATTATTATTTACGACGTGTGATGTTTTGTATAATAGATTTCATCTTGACCATTCCTAAGGACTATTTGCTTTAACCTGCTTCAAAGTTCGTTTGTCTTATGTGGTCCTAATTGTTGTACTTACCTTAAAATAAATCCATGCTGTTTTTTTCTGCTCCAAGTCTGGCGCTTGTCTGTGTATATAAGTGGGGTTTTTGCAGTTTGGTTTTTTTTTTTTTTCTCTCTCCATCTCTCCTTTATGCGGAAAACCGGTTGTTTTTAAAACAAAGTCGTTTTCCCGGAGCCTAAAGATTTCCTATGATGATGATCCCTTTTATATAAGGTTTAGCTCACACGGGGAGCTGAAATTTGTACAACCGCGGGGAGGAAACGAATAAAACACGGCGGGGGCGGCCGACTCTGAGCACCGGCTCTCGTCCCTCCATCCCCAATCCTTGGCCAGCTTAAAATTTGGGGAAATTTCTCCGGCCTCCGATGGGGAGAAGGGGAAAAAGAGGAGCGATAGGAAGGAGGATTTCTGCTTCTTTTGCCCCGTCCCTGGAAACACAGGCCTTGCGCGGTGTTCCGCGTGTCCCTGCGCCCGGAGCCGGCTCTTCCCACGACAGAAAAGAAACAAAAATACCCCCCACCTCCCCTTTTTTTTAAAAAAAAGGAAACCCGAAAGGCACCGGGTGGGTGATAAGAGCGGTCGTTTCAACCCCAACTCACTGCGGAGCCTAAAAGAAGGTGGGAAGTTCATTTCGGAATCATTTTAAGCTTTGAAATCCTATTCCGTATTAAAGATTTGGCTGATTTTAACCTTTTCCTTATCTATTTAAGTTCCTATTCGTGACGCCGGGCACTGAGAGATGCTGTGCGTTTTTTCTTAAATCAACCTTAACCCGTTAAAGCGGCTGTAACCGAAGGCAGAAGGAACAGCAATGCCAAAGGCATGGAAATACCGATATAGCAGAATTTTGGGGGGGCTCTTTGGGACTTCTCAGGCCCGGCTCGCTGGAGCCCGGCTCCTTTCCCATCCTCCCAGACTCCGTAGAAGCTCAGCCGTCTAACATTTCCCGGGGACATTCCCCGGCCGTGCCCCCCCCTTCCACCCCCCCATCCCGCCCCAAGTATCCCTCGTAGCCTTGGCTGGGTGAGGCAGCGGTCACACGCGTGGTTAGGCTGTTAAAATCGATGATATAAATTGGTTTTGATCGGGTAAACTTCGCATGCGCTAAAAAGCTGGCAAAAAGCACCGAAACTCTCGGTTTAAATGAGGGAAAATGTCCGAGTCTCACTTGATCTGTATTTTAAGGAACATTCTTGTAAAACTCTTGCCATTTTTCCTGGCTCTCAGAGGGTGGTTTTTATTTTTTTTCTTTTTTTTTTTTTTTTTTTTAAATGCAACAAAATCCAAAGTGCTATTTTAAAGCGAGAAATAAATAGGGTGAAGGAAAAAATAGGGTAAAAAGAAAATAAATAGGATGAAAGGGTGAAAAGAAATTATAGGGTAAAACTATGAAAAAAAATAAATAAAGCCAAGTAGGATTCTTCCCCTGATCCAGTCCATTTCCCCGCGTGGGGGGGCGGCAGAGGAATTGCCGGGTGGGTTCCTGCCCCCCTGGAGGTGGCTGGAGTCAGGTGGCTCCTGTGGGTTTTCCCACTCGCGTTCGAGAAATCCTGGGGCTCCCAGATCTTCCCAAGCCGGTGAAGGGCGCTGGGCGGACGGGGGACGGCGGGCAGGGATGCTGGGGGTCAGGGATGCTGGGGGTCAGGGTGTCCCCCCCTCGGGGGTTCTGCCACCTCCCCCCCCCACCCCGCTGCTGGACAGTTCCTGGGGGGGGGGGGGGGCAGGTTGAGCCGAGTTTGGGGGTCTCAAGATTTCGGGAGCTTGGCAGAAAAAGCCAAGCCCACCGTTCGATGCTAAGAGCAGCTGGTGGGGGGGACGACACATCCATCCCCCCGCCTTAGGAGCAGGGTTTGGGGACTGAGAGGGTTGTCCCTTTGCTGTGCCCTGGCCTGGGGCGGTGTGTGTGTGTGTGTGTGTCAGACCCCATCTGCCCCTCTTTGTGGAGCTCCAGCCGCCCCCACCATTCTATGGGGAGCGCCTTTAGGGTGGGCTGGTTTTGCAGGCGAGGCGAGAGCGAAGCGGGGGTGCAGGGCCCCTTTTCGGGTCTGTATTTAAAAAAAAAAGCTAAGATACGAAGGTCGATAAGGCGATAGGCGTCTGTCGCGACAGGTGACTTCAGCCCGGCCGGGCCAGAGGGAGAGGAAGGAAGGAAGGAAGGAGGAAGGCACAGGGAAGCTGCTGCAGACAGTCCCGGCCGGATCGGGCCCCGCAGACCCTCGCAGCTGAAGGATCGGCATAACCCCCCCCCCCTCCGTACCCCATCGGGGGGGTTGCTCGGCCCCAGGGCGGGGGCTGAAGCTGCTGCGTGGCCGGGGCCCATCGCGGATGGGGATGGTGGTTGGTTGGGGTGTTCTTTTTTTGCTTTTTCTCTCCTTTATTTATTTATATTTTTTTTTTCTTTCTTGCTGCACTGCCATTAACCTGCAGGTTTGCAAACCTGTCCGAAAGCCCAGACAGCTCCGAGTTGCGGGAAGAGAAGGGAAGGGACGGGATTTTTCCAGCTCTTTCCCTCCGGGAAGGTCCCTGCGTGGGGTACCGGCCGAGGGAGCCTTTCCCTGGTGTTGCACCACCTGAGTAAAACATAATCTTTTTAGGAAGACCCCCCCCCAGGCACGGAGCTGTATGGTTTCTGCCCCCACCCCGGCCCCAAGCCGTCCCACCTCCCCGGGAACTCGGCAACGGGGCTGCGGGAAGGAGCAGGAGGTTTTTGGGGAAGGCCGCTGGTTCTTCTGTCACTTTGGAGGGGACTTTGTCCGTACCAGGCACTGAAAGACCGGGAGAGAAAGAAATATACCCCAAATTTCGGGTCAATACCCAGCGATCTCTCCTGGGCGAGGAGAGATCCCGCACGGCGAGGGGGGGGGGGGGGGAGGGGGGGGGAGTGGGGCCCCCCACCTCCGCAGGTTTTTTTTTTTTTTTTTTTTTTTTTTTTTTTCCGTTCAAGGGAAGAGTGACGATAACAACAACAACAAAGCCCCTCTCCGTCGCACCGCTCTCTCTTCCCCAGCCTTTCCCCAACCCCTCGAAGCCGTCGGGGGCCGCTCGGAGGGTTGTTCCCGGGCGGATAACGCAGCGAGCACCGGTGATGCCGCCGGTAGAGGAGGGCCAGGAGGCAGCACATGAGCCGGGACGAAGGAGCAGCCGGAAAATCCGCATCCCCGCCTCCAAGGATTTCCTACCGCGAGGAGGAGGAGAAGAGGCGAAAAGAAGGAGGAAGCGAGACTTTTACTGGGGGAGGGAGCTCGGGGAGTGAGCGGGAGCCCGTGTGCCTGCCTCCTGCCCTACACGCGAGTATTTATTGTTTTAATAATCCGTGCTCGGAGTGTCCCAAGGAGCGGGGGACTCCCCGAGATGGGGAGAGGAGGGGGGTTGGGGGGTGAGGGGAGGGAGACCTTCAGCCTCGGCAGGATGAGGATGCGCCGGGCGGGTTAACGCAGCCGGGCTCTGCCCCATCCCTCCCCGGCGAGGATGCTGCCGTGGGGCGGGGGGCGGGAGGGGGCTGTTCAGACATGCTGGTCCCCAGTTTCGAGATGAGAGGAGCCTTGCCCCTCCCCAAACCCTTCTTCTGCCTCCTTATTTTTATTTATTTGGGGGTTTATTGCGTTTGTAGCACACCTTATGGAGAGGTCCTGCAGCTCCCGGGACTTGGGGAGGGGGGTGATGCACCGCGGGCGGGGATGGGCGGTGTTAGAGGGGGTGGGTTTCCCTTCCCCTGCGTGGGACCAGCCAGTGAGAGGGGAGACACCCCCCCCCACACACACCCCCACCCGAGAAACCACCTCCCTCCTCACCTCGGCTGCGTTTCCCAGGCTCGCAGGGCGATTTTAGGACTCATCTGGGGCTCCATAACCAGCACCCTGGTTTTTTTACCCCGGGGGTGCAACAGGACGGGAGCAGGAGTGGGCGAGAAACCCCACGGGTGCAGGGGAGCTTGCGGGGAGGTCTGGGGAGGGGGTGCATCGTCAGGGTCCGACGGTGCTGGGGGGCACCCCGGAACCCGGCTTTTACCTCTTCCCCTGCCAGGTGAAAGTCCCACTGTGGTGATGGGAGCTGCGCTGGTGGGATATTTCTCTGCGAAGAAGGAAAAGATCCTCCTCTTCCCTACCCCGGAGAAGTGCTGTTCCATGGGACGGGGTCTCCCCGGGGTCTAACGCAGGTCTGAGCCGCGGGGGGGTTGTAGGGAAACAGCCCGACACCTCCAACTGCATCCGAATCCTTCGGGGCCTCGGCTTAAAACTGTTACATCAGTAAATTAAAAAAAAAAAAAAATTAAAAAAAAAAATCCCACAACACAAAACACAGCCCCAAACCTGGACGTTTATACAGAAAAAGAGCATCACAAATTCCTAATGTAAGCACCGGCCAGCTGTGTGCACTTGTAAAGTTGTTATAATCCCCCTCCTTGTTATAAACAGGAAAGTACATAATATAAAGCAACAGGCCCGCATTCACAAATACTGACTCTCCTCCCCGGCCCTGCCAAATTCCCCTTGTATGAAGTTCGCTGCAGCCCCCGGGCTTCTCCCCCCCGGCGCATCCCTGCTCGCCCGGGGCTGAGCAAGGAGCTCGCCCCAAGCCCCCTCCCTGGTGGCCCGTGGCGAGCGGGATGAGGGGGGGGGACGGGGACACACAGAGGGTCTGGCCAGGTCCCCGCATTGGGAGGTGATGGGGAGGTGAAGCCCCACCACACCTGGGGGCCTCCCATTTCCTCCGGACTCCAGCCAGCCCCTTCCCCTTCCTCCCCATCGCAGCGCTGCCTTCTCCTCTTATCCATCCTTTTTTTCTTCCATCCTTTCCAATTTTAATTTTTTAATTTTTTCTTGTTGTTGTTGTTGTTTAATGCCCCAGTTTTCCTGCGGGGATCCTTGCCCGCTGCTCCCCGAGCTCCAGCAGTGAACATCCTGCTCTGCTGTGTGTGCTTACAGCGTCAAAGGGTGGACGTGATATTTCAAACATCAGATCAGTGCGTTTATATATTGGGTGCCCGGAAATTTTTCCAAATAAACACAGCTTGATTCGACTTGGGTGGGCAGACTTATCAACAGACTAATTCTATAAACAAATGAAGGAATAACCCGGAGACCATTGGCTGGTACCAGCAAGACACGTGGAGAGAGCTTGGAGTTTTGTAGCAATGAAATTTTAATTAATGTGGGTGGGCTGAGAACACAAACGACTGTTTATCAGAGACAATTTATTTTCCAGTGCTAAGTCAACATATAATAGCAAACTTACAACAATTATTTAACTTTTCTTTTTTTCCTCCCTTTTTTTTTTTTTTTTTAAGAGCTATGAAGCGGGGACAGAGGCAGAGCGAGCTCCTTCAGGCAGGGCTGGGATCTGAGCTCGCACAAATCGCTCCCCAGTGGACTCGTCCCAGGTTCCTGCCCTTCCCCGTCCCTTCGCTCGGCTCCGAGAGGGAAGAACCGGAGCTGGGAGCCCGTCGGCGATGAGCCACATCTACAGCAGCCACCTCTCCCCCATGGGCAGCCCCTCCATGGTGTATCTCCCGGCCGCCTTGAGCTTCTCCCCCAGCGGTGCCATCTCCCGCCAGGACCCCCCGCAGAAGCCCCCTTACAGCTACATCGCCCTCATCGCCATGGCCATCAAAGAAGCTCCGGAGCAGAAGGTGACCCTCAGCGGCATCTACCAGTTCATCATGGACCGTTTCCCCTTCTATCACGACAAC